CCCCTGGGTTGTTCGGGCTCAGACCTGGACCTTCGTGGAATGAAGGATTTGAAGGCCGCTGAGCGTGCCTTCGCCTCCCTGAACTTCTCGACCACTGTCTCAACGGAGGTACCAAAAAGTTCATAGGGCGAAACTGGGGCATCGAGAAGAAAGCCCCTTTCTTTCCTCCCGATGTCTACCAGGTTCACCCACAGATGTCTCTCCGTCACTACCATAGCCACCATGGACCTGCCCATAGCAGAGGCAGCCTGCTTGTCTCACCCATAGAGAGATAGCTGGCCAGCGTCTCTTCTACCGGGGGCATCCTCTCATAGCTGTTTTCGCACATCGCCTCGATGTTGGCATAGCTGGTATGCTGGAATCGATGGATGCTTGAGGAAAACGGCCTCTTCCATTCCTTCTCAATCTCTGTATGGAGATCAGGAAGGAAAGGAATGGCTCACCTGAGCGTTAGAGGGTTATGGCCAGAAAGATAACACTCATCGAGACAACCTCGCGACGTCACTTCCTTAGTCCGCTTCCACGGCAAGTCAAGCCTCGCCGTGGCGCGATCCATAACTTCCAAGAGCTCATCATACGCAGGGCAGGAGGATTGTTTACTCGAAAAGAGAGACAAACGAGAACGGAGCTTTTTCATTGGAAAAAACTCACAATGCGCGCAGATTGCCCCCTCGAGGACATCGCGTGCGTGCTCTTTGCCCAAACAAACAACGCATAGATCGTGTGTGTCATCGGGTGTCAAATAGCGATGACACGGATGCACACATCTTCTAAACGCTTTGCTAGTGTTCGCCATAATGAATGAAAGAGATCGCTCTTACCACGGAAATGCACGCTTCAAACAAAACAGTCAGTGAAGACGAAGAAGAGGATGATGTGTTCTCCCGGCGCCTATTTATACTATAGTCGCACCGGTAGTGACGTCATGGCTGTGGTGTTTTTTCAATGTATGCTTCAGACACGGGTCACGACGAGGCGTTCCCCATAGCGACCCCTAGAGGACGCAGTTTGAAGTTCCCATGAAAGGGAACTGCATTTTAACTTCACCTAATATTTATGAAATGCTAATGGAATAGAATTGGCTGTATTACCTTAACAAGCATTACATTTTATCAGAATACTGTAACAATAACATATATATATGTTTTTTTTATTTTTTTCCTTCCTGCTATAGGCTCGGAAAAGTGGAATAAATACAACTGTGATCGGAAAATGGCTTTTGTGTGTAGCAAGATGAAAAAGCCTCATGAAAAATGTTGAATGTCTTATTGTCTTGCATTAAAGGAATAGTAATGACAAATTTATTTATTTAGTGACACATATTTACAACAATGCTTACCCTCAGTCGATCCAAGACAAAGACGAGTTCTTCATCAGAACAGATTTGAAGAAATATAACTTTACATCATTTGCTTATCGATGGATCCTCTGCAGTGAATGGGTGCCATCAGAATGAGAGCTCAAACAGCTGATCATGAAAACATCACAATAATCCACACGACTCCAGTCCATCGATTCATGTCTTGTGAAGTGAAAGGCTGCAAGTTTGTAATCAAATGTTTTTCTTAATTTTTTGGTCAACTGCTCCCAACATATGTTGATTATGTATCTAGTCAGAAAGACTCATGAGCAGCATCCTTTTTATTTTGGGTATGTCATTTGTGTCTCCATGCCGAAAATGGAGGGTGACACCAAAGGGGTTAAGTGAGTCATTGCGATTGAACAGAATCAT